TAACGACCCGCTGCTAGTGGACGAGATACTGAACCCGCTAGGAAAAAGCGACCATGCCACGATTATGTCCAAATTCCTAGTGTGTACCACTAAAAAGATAGATCAGTTACTCGCAGGGTGGAACCTATACAGGGTAGATTAAGGGGTGTTTAATAGAGCTTTAGCAGCACTTCCCCAGATGGAACAATCAGGTGAAGCATCAGTTGACGACTTGTGGCGTAGAATCCTGAACAATCTGCAACTGACAATCCACGACGTAGTTTCTCTGCGCGCCGTCAAACCCAAAAACGAAAAAATAACTTGGCTTAGGAGCAGGACTAAAAGGCTGACCAGCTTAAAGCGATCATCTTGGAATAGATACCAGCTGAGTCATTCGCTCGAAGATTTTGAGTCTTACAGGACTCTAAGAAACCGCTGTACAACGCTCCAACTTGAGGACAGAAGGCTCTACCAGCTTAAGCTATGCGAGGAAGCAAAGCAAAATCCTAAACTGCTCTATCGATACATTGCCCAGGCTAGGTCAGTTACTACTGGCATCACCAAAATAAAAACGGGAAATACTGAAAGTCATACATTTTGACAGAGTCACCATCGAGGCCAAACTGAGTCATCTCCGTCCGAACATATCTCCGGGTCCGGATACCATACCGGCGGTACTTCTCAAAAACTGCGCAAGGGTTCTAAGTTCTCCCCTAGCACAACTGTTTACGGCCTCCATGAACACTGGAAAACTCCCACGCGATTGGAAAGCCAGCATTGTAACTCCGATATACAAATCAGGATCCGGCATAAACGCCGAAAACTATCATCCGGTAGCCCTTACTTTCCATACTTTCAAAAGTAATGGAATACATAATAGACGATGGAATAAGAGAATTTCTGAGTCTTGAATTTGCTCAACGCACAGCAGCACGGATTCCGCAAAGGCCGGTCGTGCTTAACAAACATCCTAGCGGTGACAGATGATTGGACTAAAGAAGCAGACACGGGGAACAGCGTGGATGTTGTATTCCTAGACTTCTCCAAGGCCTTCGACAAGGTACCACATCGAAAATTATGCGACAAACTCATCCATTGTGGCATAACGGGAAGGTTGCTAAGCTGGTTGAAAGACTACTTAAGTGATCACAGATATCAGGTGAGGGTCAATAGTTCTCGTAACTGAAAAGACAGACGTCTCAGTTTTCTCATACAATTCCAAATGGGTGGACCAATGAAGATTGTTGTCAATGGTGATACCCAGTTACTTGACTGAGACCATTCTGGATAAAGGTTTACAGTTAAGGGTAGCAGAGTCAGTTGGAAATGAGGAGCGGGAAAGACTGAAATTAAACTCTACGCACCTAGGTGTGTTAAGACCGAGACCATATTGGTCAGCAAACTGTTGTATGTGGGATGGGTTTTCATGGAAAAAATGAAGTTCCGAAGGAAATAAAACTATCTGACATAAAACGACATTGTCGGCATACTTTTGGATGTGCTCATGGGGTGGAACCGAGAGATCAAAAATAAAAGAAGAAGAAAGATATGGATAAAGAACAGCGTCTGGAAGAACATCAAAATTACTAACAAGAGACTTTGATGTCCTCCTTCCTAATTTGATGCATCGGACTCTCTCTATGAAATAGTTAGTAAGCCATGAGAGTAGTTGTCTCCGAGTGCCAAAAGACCCATGTCTGAAGAAAAGGGATGAACGAGAGACAGCATCAAACGAGGAAGAATAGTCAAGCAAAACAAAACCACTTGGCCAAGTTGTTCAATTACTTGCTGATAAAATGCATTAGAGTGGAAATGGCGTCGAGTGTAGATCTGGTTTATATGCAAACTGAAGGGGGTCGCAAGGGATTGTGGTGATTGACTGCAACCGACGCAGGATGACGTTTTCAGTCAACTTTAGAACCTGTAAGGTGGGCACAATAGGACGAAGCTGTTTCGCAAGAGCAGTTGAGGTCGAGGATTTGGGGATTGGAACAATAGTCACTTGGCCCCAGAAATCTGGAATCGACCGGGAAGCTAGGAACTCATTGACGACGTATTTTATTATATTGGTTACAGAAGCTGCTCCGAATTTCAGAAGTGCAGGAGGAAGACCATCAGGGCCTGCAGCTGAAGATGCTTTGCAGGATCGAAGAAACTAAAGGATTTCTTCATCGGAAAAGAGCACTGAATTGGATTCATTCCATGGCTCTTATTTGGCAGATGGGCCAAAGCGGTGTTAAGGCTGTTCATGTCCACAGAGGTATCCGCGTATTTTCTGCTCTGCACGCAGAGACGGCGAGAACCTTGCCATAAAAGCCTGGTGTTCTTTGTCTGCAGAATTCGGGCGGCGAAGATTGCATTTAGATGAATTATCTCAGACCTGATTACCTCAGAATAGTACCGTACAACTGATGCATGGAGAGGTTTGTAGGCCTTCTCTTTATGTCTTCTCAGTGATTTCAAAATGGAGACCTTATAGACAAACAGGGTTTTCTTTGAATTTCATAAGTTAACTATCGATATAATCGTTTCAGCGAACAGACTGACACATTTAAAAAGCGATGAACAAGAATCAAACCAAGACTGAACAATCACAGCAAAACTGTTGAGAAGAGAGATGCGATTGGATGAAAAGTCCTTTAGATGAAATTTTATCTAAGTAAAACGTATGAATGTTTAAAGTGCGAGAGTATACCTTTGATTTTGTATCCCGTGTAAGTCAGTAAGTACGCAAGTAGTGAATTAAGTAATTATTCTACTTCCAGTATGTAATTGCAAACGTAGCCGGTCCGTAAGCCGGTGAGCAAGCAGTGCGTCAACACGCAGACAGGCAGGCACAAACCCGTGCAACCGTTACCAAAAGGAGTAGGGCATCACATTGAGCAGTCAACGAACCAATCAATGCGGACAGGGCAATGCTGACCTCTGATTCGCTGAGGTGGATCGACCTTGTAGCAGAGGAAGTCCGCATAAGGTGCGTACGTGTGCTTGAGGGGGAGCAGGCTCCAATGTTCGGTCGCGTGATGTGCGGTAAACGTTTCACTCGACGGCCGGCCACAACACTTTGGTCTAACAAGAACACTATGGTCACTAGAAGAAACCAGGGTCATTAGTTTGAGAGGGAATAATTTGGGATGGATTGTGATAACTTTGTCCAGCACAGAACTTTGGTAGGAGAATGACTAAGGTCAAACAGACCAAACGGAAGCAGGGGAGAAATGCTTGCATGATTGAAGTCACTAACAAGTAAGTGAAGATTTTCATCTAATTACGAAACTAGAAAAGGAATATAAAAATCAAAGAACAAAAAATTCCGTCTGAGAACACAAGGGAGATTTACACCAATTAGTGGTAATTGTACTTTGCTATGGGAAAATTTTGGATGACAACGAATAGACAACAGTCAATGGATTCTCCAGAATACTTATATATTATCACTTCTGACTTGCCGCAACAGGAAACATTGATGTCGATTGCTACATGGCCTACAGTTATCCCCTACTTCGCTGTCTATCCTGCGGGTGGCAATCAAAGCCTTCTAGTTAAAGCGTTTTGATTCAGCCAGGTTTCTTGTACACACATAACACATGTTGGAATTATTGCGTGTGTTCAGAATAAAGGTTAAATCCAAGATCTTTGCGAATTGCGAGCGAATGTTAGTACTGACCAAGCCAATGATGGCACAGTTATCTTAACTGTATCTTAACACAGTGAGTTTTCTTCGTTTTCAATCGATTTCTGGAATTCAGGCACAATCAGTGTCAATTCGTACATTTGATCAACTCGAATCCATACAAAACGGATAGAGGATAACAGGATTAGCATGTGGCCAATCGAAGTTCGAGTTTTTTGCCTCCTGAATCGAACCCACATTCGATTGAGTCCTATCTCGGTGGTCAGTGGTGTGCTCAGTCTGTTTGCTCTGTTTACGCTCATCTTATCTGTTGCAGTTGTGCTCAGCATGATGTGTGTGCAGTCCGAGGGATGTCAAAATTTCACCGGTCNGACGAGCCAGTCACTCACTGACATGATTTTGTATAGGTATATGCGATACGAATGGTCCAACTGGTTGAACAATGCGACCATCTCACCGGATATTCTATCCCTGTTGAATATCGGGCCACTGACAAAACTCACCAAGGTGATTAGCACCTCGGACAATCCAAACGTCAATTCGCCCAACCAGGTCGGTTTGTTCGGATTGGTTGGTCATGAACGAAATCTGAATTTTCAACCTCTGTTGACTAGTGACAAAGTGACGTCGATTATTACGGAAGCAGAAAAGTGAGTGTAGACAGTGTTTGAGTGGTATTTAAACAATTGTGAATCCTACTGCGATACTGGAAAAATAAAATTTTAAACTATACCAAGCTCAGCCAATCGGGGCCCTTCCCAAGGGATACTTCTGACCTAGTATAATGACCAGAATGTGTCAACTGAAAACGTGTAGCATTCACATTAGACACGAACGCAAACTGAAACACTAAATCGCACTATCACTTGTACGCTGGAATCTCCCGTCACCGAGACGCAGGAAAAAGGCCAAAGAAGTAGCAGTTCATTTGTTGAAAGAAATCAGTGGGATTAAATAACATGTACAAAGTAATTTTATTGGTTATACAGGTATCCACCCATCGCCTGTTTGTATTCTGGACGTCATATAGCTTCTGTCTGGACCGCACGATTTCTAATTGGTCGGCACAGATTGGCGTGTGGTACAGCCACATCAGGGAGGCTGGCTGCCCTGTCAAATGAAACAAACAAATGGTGAGTGTGAACATGTGCAGACAGATCACTGGATATGCTAGACGATCAATCAGAATATGATTAAGTTAACCATTGAGAAGATAGCATGAGACAAATTACACCAGGGTCAAAAGCAGATATCATGATCGAGAATGAAATTGCGCCAGTCTATCGTAGATGAACAAACAAACATAGTGAATGCTGATCAGCCGGAGACAAATGATATTTAAACAGTCCAGTTGAGAGGAATAATGCCGGCTTCCAGTTCATATTTGTGCAATGTTGGTGACAACCAAGGAAGCAGGTGAATGAAAGCTTAGAAACAGGGATACGAGAATGATCAACTTATCCCACGTAACAATAAAAGTCTTGGAATCACCATTTTGTTTGAAATTTTCTGTGTAGCACACACCCAACAAGCTCATGACATCCAGAAATCATAGAGCGTCTTGGTTAACCTGGGGAATTTTCTTATCACCATCGATTCGTAAAGCACACATGCTCAATGATGGTGCAGATTAGTTTGATTTTACTCCACGTAGCCACCAACAAAAACAAAGACAAAAATATGGACGGAATGACAGAGAGATAACGATGTCCAGTGTACCGTTTTGCAGAACTAAACAGATATGTGATTTTTATAGGAAAGAAAACAAACGAGCAACATCCAAGGACTTTCATTAATTTCTTGGCCGTGTAAGATTCCTAACAAAACAATGTGAACTGCGGACACCGTCTGTTATTGTGTCACCGTCGGCCACACCAATGAGATGAGCGATGTCTCACAGAAACAGTCTTTTTCTGTTGTCTTTAGTAGATGTGGTACCAATACGATCTTTTTCATTCTTACTCCTACCTACTCGTTCTATTCCAAGACCGATGGATGAACAGAAAGGGAGAACATTCGGATAGTCATTTTCATTTTCATTTTGCTTCCTTTTATTGAGTATACCGAGATACGTGTACCAAAATCGCGTCTGTCTTCCATCCCCCTTAAATGCTCTGTCCCTTTTGTTGACGTTTTTAATGACGTCTATAAAATAAGCTCAAACATCGATCAGAGCATCTCGGGCATCCACATTAGACTGGAGTCTCTTGAAACTGTCATTTTAACTCTAGCTCCACTCGTCTTTCTGATGGATCCCTCATCCCAGCCAATGACCAACCTCGCCCAATCGGGTTTGATGTTGGATTCTGTTGCCTCAGAAATAACTAAACGTATCACTAATTCGAAACGCGCGGTCGTCTTCAATGTG